CGAAAGTGAAAGCTCCCCAATCTGCTTCCCCGTGCTCAGGCGGAGTCATGAAGTTCTTCCGAAAAACCGGCAGCGAGGCGACTCCCCAAGCTTCAAGCTTTAAGGCCTTAGCCGGATGTATCAACGAGCACACTTGTAAGGACGTGATATCAGTGGTGCAATTGGTACTAGTAGTGGATGGTGGCGGCAGCTCCGGTGGGTTGAACTTCTAGTGGTCGAATTGGAATAAGGATGGTTGCATTCATGTCTAGGGTGCAGATGGAGCAAAAGCATATCGCAAGAATACGTAGCTGCTCCTTGCGGTACCATTTTGATACTCGTAGCTGCATCAACCACCCCGTGGCTACGTCTAACCAAGCTGCGATTCCAGAAAGAATATATCTAAAGCATTACATTGCCCGTATTTGGATGTTTTATCACGTCCATTCTCTGAGGGATAAACACCCCGTAGAGCCTTAAATGTAATGTGCAATATTGGCACCCATACTTTCTACCTACGCCGCCGCAAACCTCAAAGTCACAGTACAGTTGTATAGAAGCAACGCCCTCACTACAACAACCACTGCTACTGCTTTCTGCTGCAACTGTCGTGCCTAACACGAGTACTGCTGCCACCACGGTACTTTTGCAACAAGTATCGGCATACTTTTGACCACGATTCGCCGGGTTCCAGGTCATCGCCGGGGATCTCAAGGGGGAGGGACTCCTTAGTCTGGCGCAAGGACCTGTGAAATCGGAGGGGTGGGTGGGGGTTCAGGATTCCGAGCCCGTTTGGGTTGCTCTTGGGGTTGAGGGTGAGCATTGACATCAGACAAAGACTTGCTTCTTGTGACGAGAAGAGACGGAGCCCTCATGATAGGTGTACCTTTGCATTCCATTTCTCTGCTGATTCTGCTGTCGGGAAAGGGCTTAATGAGAGCTGCAGTCCGATCCTGTCAACTTCCTTGTGGCTTCAACTTTGGCATCTTAAGGTTTAGGGTTTAGGGTTTAAGGTTTAGGGATGATGATGCTGCGGCATGCATCCTTCAACTGCGGCGTGGCGAGGAGTGGTTGGTGGCACTGCAGCAACTGCCGGGAAGTTCTTTGGAGCCCTCGGCCACCTGACCTGAAAGGATATCAGCTTCTGGGCTTCAGGGTTTGGCTTCTTTCCGCGGGCTTACGGCATCAATGTGGGAGTTTCCGATTTTTCTAAGGTAACTACAATTTAGGGTGCTATATTAGGGTCCCCTATTTTCGGAAACACCCATGCGTCGTTGAGTTCAGGGTCGTCTCTGACACGACTGCGCGGAGTTAATATGCATGTTGATCAGCACCGTTTCTTCTCCACGGTCGCAGGCGACACTGTGGATGCATTGGCGCAGACTGGTGGAGACCGCGATCGCCACTACCAGCCGCCCGGCCAGTCCCAAGATAGTAGGCTTTGCGGCCTTGCACTTCCGTGGTGATGGCGCATGGATTTCTGAATGCCTGTGTACTACTTCTTAGCGCGACGGCAGGAGGAGGATTCGATATGTTTCACTGTGGAGCAAGTGAATAGTAAAAGCATCGGAGAGTCGTCGCGAGTCACCGTGAGCAAGGTAGTTACAATGTTACTGTTCCCACGGGCTCCCCGCGTCATTGCAACTCGGACGTCCCGGTTGCATTTTAGCTTGCCGGTAGGAGGGAGGGTTTTGCCGGCAATAGAAGCGGAAACAAACTGGCATGCCGAGTCGCCTCAAACAGGTTACAAAGTCGGTGCCTTTCCCCTCTTACCCTCCTCGTTGCACTTTGCCTGCTCCCACCACCCCCAAAACACTAGAATCAGCTCATTAGAACTACTCCTTTGTTATGTGGCTCAAGTAGAACCTGTGTTAGGGTTCCTTATTGCACTCAAGGGTAGAAATTGTATCTCAACCATTCTCAACCCGTCTTCTATTCCTGAAGGCTCCTATATGATGTTCCTTCTAGGGGATCCCCGCCCCGAGCTGTCATGGGCCTTGCAGCCCCGGGCTCCCCAAAAAGCCTAGTCCTAGCCCTTTTAGACCAAGCCTGGCGAGGCCCGGCTCCGTGAATCATGTTGGTGACGGTCTGACAGCTGGGGCGCAGGCGTGCCGAAGAGGGTTCAGAGCAAGGGGAAGTTCGGACGAAACTTGATGGGATCAGAAATGCATCCAACGATGGTTTATTCCAAGGCGGTACAATGTGTACCGAGTGTCTCTAGAAACGGTGGGCAAGGCTGCATGGACCCCCTCAGATTTGGGAGTTTCCGAAAATAAGGGGTACCTTATTTTGGGGTCCTTATAATAAGGATCCTACTATTTAGGGTACTATGTTAGGGTCCCCTATTTTCGGAAACCCCCAAATTTCTTATGCCCAGATCCGCCCTGCCAGACACTTCTGCCAGGTCTTCCTGCATGGGGCCACTTCGGGCATCGCCGGCCTCGTGCAGGCTCCGGTCCAAGGCTTCCAGCGGAAAGGACCTTACGAGTGCCCGTGAGTTTCAGGCTCTACAATAGGGTATGACTTCTGGGAGTGGCATTTAACAAGAAGGAGAAACAAAGAACCATGGACAGTTATGGCATGCTTTGGTGGTCTCAAACTCCCAGACCTCTGTGCGATGGCAAGGACGAGATACCGAGACTGAGACAGTCCGTGCTCGAGTAGATGCTGCTGATGGTAATGCCGTTTGTCACCCGACCCTGTTCAGACCAAGAATTTCCACGATGCGGCTCATTTCCTCAGGTCCTGCAACGATGCCGATCATAGCTTTTAGCATAGAAGCCTCAAATGCTGGAGGAGTTGTTGGGCTGGCCACTGGAATGCTGAAGGGCGCTGCAGGGCTGCTCGCTGTGACATTTAGTGATGAGTTAGATGTGGGATTTCGGGTTCATTGCAGTCCCTGCTCCAAAACAGGGGAAAAAGAGTCAGTAATAGAGAAGTTTTTCTGCGAACGTAAGCACCTAGTGACGAGCACCACGAAAGATGATGGTAGTGGTCGTCACCATTCGACAGGAGGAGAAGCGTATAAACTAGCAACTACCGTGGCGATCATCGCAGAGAAAACATGCTCTCTACATCTCAGAGCTCCGAGTCGGCTCTGAAACGAGGGTTCCACGGCGCACACCCGGGGAAGCAGTTGAAAGGCTGAGAGCAGATTCGCACGACTTGGGAACACTAGGGGCGTCCTAGAAACCACCCGAGCCCTCTGCTCTCATCGAAGCCAGGCTTGTGGCGAAGCCCGTCAGCGGACTCATGCACGGCGTGCAACATGTAGCCGCCAGGTCGCAGAGATATCGAAGAGGGAAGCGGGTTGTGTGGAGAAGGCTGAGACGTTTCCTTTGCAGATGGACTTTGAAACCTCACATTATCTAGCCGACCTCGCTGGGTTTGCAGGTGCAGTCATGGATGGATTGAGTCTCTGAGGCAGAGGGCGTTGATGCGACTACGCGCCTCTGGGATCATGCGGAGCAGAGCTCCAGCTGCAAGCAGAGATAAAGGCGAGCAGCACGGGACCCTTGGAAGCGAGACTCACACCTGGGAGCGATGTAAAACTCGAGGTTCACATTGACAGGCGCGACTCGCGACTAAAGCCCCAGTAAAGCTGCAAGCCGAACCATGTAAACAAGGACAAGTCATCAGCATCAGCTCGCCCACTGGAGATGCACGGTACACTTTTCCGAAGGCATCAAACTTTCTTGGAAGATGCGACGACTCCAGGATTCTACATTCTTCGTTGGATCCCACCTGTCGGCTTGATTGCTCGAAGCCCTCCTCCATCCCTCCGCTCTTTTTTTTCATGCAACAAAGGCAGAAGAGCCCTTTATGAAGCCCCTCAGCACCGGAGCTCAAGAAGCCTTCGCCACGCCAATCTTGCATCAGACACTCCACTTTCCAGCAAGACGACAGCGCCCGTAACTTGAGGCCAAGCTCAAGCCACAACCTAGCCGTGGGAAATGCAAGTCCGTGCAGCTGGCAAGACAGGGTGCCTTTATCTTTAATGCTGGTCAGCGTGCTAGTCTATGCAACTTCCGGGTGGATGCTATTGCACCAAGGTCAGGTGGAAGAATTTGGGAACTGCCACGAGTTCCTCAACCCTCTCCCACCCTAAAGTACTACGGTTCCAGAGAGCTTGCCGGCATCACGATCCTGAACCGGCACCCAAACCCCAAACTCTAACCCCAACACCAATATTATACTTTAGAGTTCTAGTACGTTATTCCCCAAGTCCTTGATCTAAATAGCAAGGCCCCTATATTAAACTCCCGGGCCCCTCAGTCTCAGGATCGTGCGACCCCTAAACCCTAAACCCTAGCTAGCAAGGCCTCTACACTAAACTCCCGGCCCCTCAGTCCCCTGAACCCTAAACCCTAAATCCCTATATTAAACTCCGGAGCCTCTCAAAACTCAGGATCGTCCGGCGACGGGAGCCCCGTGGATTGCCCAGCGGTGCCAAACTCGTGCCCCTGGTGGGTGCCGAGCGCCTCTCCTTGACGTGAGCCTAAACCCTAAACCCTAAACTTAGGGTCTTTGGGTTTAGGGTATAAAATCTGCAATACAGAAAAAAAAAGGTTTAGGGTTCGGGTTTAGGAATAACTTTTTGGGTTTTGGGATGTAGTAGTAGATGCAGGGGAAACATCAAACTTTAATGCCCGGGTATATACGTAGTTTGCTAGGGTTTACAAGTAGCCTAGCCGGGTGCACAAGTCCGTTTTTCAGTAACTATGAGAGCTCAAGTACGAGTTTAGGAGTTTGTTCCATCCGTAAACCAAAAAAATAGGTTTAGGGTTTGAACATGTTTGAACCGTAAAACAGATGGGAAAAACAACTAAACCAAACCCTAAGCCATACCCTGAGAGTTGAAAGCTTCGGGACCATCACCCCTCAATGGACCGTTCTCTGCCTTCGGGCAATATGATGCGAGAGAATCCTAGTAAAGTTTCGAGTGCAAGAGCGCAGCAAGGATTCCCATGACACGTACATCCAACAGCTACAAGTATCTTCGAGTAGCCGAAGCAACAGCCATGGGCCACGAACTTATTCCTGCACCAGCTCCAGATACGTTGCTACAGTTAATGCCGCTTGAACGTCCGAAGTTCCAAACCCATTGCGGCCAAATGTTGGCTCTGTATCCTTGTCCAGGTTCTCGCCACGGATAACTGCCGCCTGGCTGCATCTTCATTGTGGAGACTATTGGATCAGGCATCGTGCGTTTTGCGAACGGCCGGCGCCTTTCCAGAAGTGTTTTATTGCTTGATGGGTCTGTTCACCGAAACAGGCTGCTGCTGCCACTCTGGCAAGCCAAGGCATAACCGGTATGGCGCGTCGCTTGCTGTCTTGACCACCTCCATTTCATGAAGCCCAAAAGCACTCAGAACCCCAAAGCACAGAATGGCCAATGTGTAGTCTTGCACCCACATATGGGAGTTTCCGAAAATGAGGGGTACCGTATTTTGGGGTCCTTGTAATAAGGACCCTACTATTTAGGGTACTATATTAGGGTCCCCTGGTCTCGGAAACCCCATATGCCTTGCAGAAGGTCTTCTTGGAGGCGTTGGAGTTCCCAACTGTGGAGAGTCCCGTGGCAGACACCAGCTTCGGGTCTGCGGTCTGCGGTTTCGGGAGCCCTTGCGAGAAAGTTATACACGCACATAACATGCCTACATACCCTACTTCAGGCATGTATAGCCACATACATACATACATACATACATACATACATACATACATACATACATATTTATATATATATATATGTATATATATGTATATATACATATGATCCCCAAACACTGGACCCGAATGCCTCGTACTTCAAAACCTCTGAAGCAACCCCAATCACGCCAACCACA